AATATAAATTCGTCTTCGTGGCTTGTTCCATAAGTACGAAGCAAAATAACGTAACATACATTTGGAATATATAAATACAAGAGCAAATATAACAAGACTGTGGAACGGATCGGTATATAAAAACAAGATGTGACACACATAGGGTGAAGCTTTACTGCAAACTTAACGAAACGATTGGTAGTAGAGGATTGTTTCGACAATTCAACTTGGAAGACATATCCAGTTACTTAATTATGAAAAGGTGATAGTCAATGACTTAATAAAAATTGGTTTTATGGTTATACAATGCAATTGCTCTAACATTTTAACGCATGCAGATCCAGTAGCTGTCTCTACAAGTATAAACATCTTCTCAGATCAATAAGATTGACTTTTGAAAAAAGCTGATTACACTCTTTCTATAAAAGAACTTCAAGAATGAGATCGCACACACGATAAATCAATGTTTTCCAATCTGATATTTACGGATCCGTTTTCTCTTGTTTAGACATTCAATACTCAAATCAGATATGTTCTCTCTCTCTCTCTATTGATTCAGGTAAAAATGGCTTATCAAGGTCACTTCGTACCAAGTATAACAACATTTCCCGTAGACGTCCAGGCGGCTCTAGGTGCTTCATTGATTAAATCAATGTTTTCCAATTTTACTAACACTGCAGATACTAAAATACAAAACAACTTATTAAGTTCACTTGTCAAACAATCAATCGATTGTATAACTAACTGCAAACAAGTTTTTTTCTGAAATTTGTGCAATTCTTCAACATCATCAGAGATAATTTCAATCTAATGATAAGATGGAGATATTCATAAGAAGAATCGATCAATGATGCTGAATAGATTAGGATCTTCAAATCTTAAATGTATATGTTTTCCGTTTATGTATCCATTTCAATGTTGATAATAATATAACCCATTCTCGAATATATAATTATTAAAAACTGCACAAAAATTCTTCTTTCACAGGATTTTCTGACAGAGTTTTTTTTTTATTTAGAGAAAGAAAAACAAAATCTAACTTAGATTATGAAACATAGTAGCACTCAAATCTTATTTAAGCAACCTTTTAATTAATAAAATTCACATAATCATAAAATGTTTTCCTGAACGTATAATTAGGGCTTTTATTATGGGCTTCACATAAACAAACTAAAGTAGTAGTTGGGCTTATAATTATCCAATTTAATCCAAAACCTTTCTTCTTCAATCGATCAACTCATTCCTTCAGATGTAAGCTTCTTCTTCCTCTGTCGTATTCTGCATTTCGTTATCGAATCATCACTCAATTTCAATCTAATTAGTAAAAACCCTAATTATTGAATGTGTTTATTCAATTTCAATCTAATTAGTAGAAACCCTAATTATTGAATGTGTAATTTGAATTTGAATCTGTAGATGAGTTTCTGCAACAAACTAAACCGCCTCGTTCGGCACCGTAGCGAGAACATCGCCTCCTCTCTCAAGACCTTCTCCTCGGAAGCTACTCACCACAGGTTCCACAAGGAGACGCACAGTTTCCTCGAGCCGGAGAGGTTTATTAATAGCTGGGAAGTTCCGAGAGACCCTAGAGAGGCGGAGAGGATGCTTGCGGAGCTGAGGAGGGATTATGTGAAGAAAGTGAGTTTGTTCCGTAAAGACTACGTTCATGAGATTGAGATGCTTAGGGTGGAGAAGCAGCGTAAGGATGAAGCTAGGTTGGTGGCTGAAAGGGCTGTTAATGAGGAGAGGAAGAGGTTGAAAGCTGAGGTTGCTAAGGTTAGAGCTGAAGAACGTAAGGTGTTTGAGGAGGAGTTTAGGAGAACACTGGTATGTTTGAGTTCTTTCTTTGATCATGTCTGTTGAGATGGTTCTTTGTAATAAAATGATTGCAGGGAATGTTCTTGCCTTATTTAACAAAAGGGTAGGCATGCTTTGTGAGAAAGGTTTGTAATTTGGATTGGGATTGGAGCTTTTGATCATGAATCCTGTCCATCATGATATCTCTAGATTATCTAGATGTAGATTTAGCTAGATGTTGTTATGGTTAAAACGTTTGGCCTCTTACCTAGTAATAAAACATAAGTTGGGTCTTGATGCTTTCCATGGGAACTCATGATGGTTACATGATTCATGATCAAAACCTCCAATCATGTCTGTGAGATGGTTCTTGAAATAAAATGATGGTAAGGGTTTGTTTGGCATGTGGGAAACCAGTTGCAGAGGAAGATTTATAATTTAGAGCTAATGGAGATTATGTGGATATGGGATTGGAGGTTCTGATCATGAATCAAGAAACCATCAGGATATCTTTAGGATTAGCTAGCTGTTGTTTTTGTTAAACCTTTGGCTTTTTATCTGTTTGTAACACATAAGATGGGTCTTGATGCTTTCAATGCGAATTTTTTTGAAGGTAGGGAAGTTTATTAGTTAGAGATTCCATTAGATTGAGCTGAAGGTCGAGGAAACACTGTACACACACACCGGTCTTGCCATAGGAGTATTCATTCCATCTATTCCTAGATTTCTGATTCTAGTTTAAGTTTCTTATGTCTCTTGGTCCCAGTCTCTGAGCATCTCAGAGCAGTAATGGTTTTTGTGAGTTTTATAAATATTCAAGAAATGCATGAGTCATAGACCAGTTTCTGTGTTTGAAAATGGCAGATGAAAGAAAGAGAGGAAAAGCTGGAGTTCTGGAGGATGACAGGGCTAAAAAGGGAAGAGAAGAAGAAAGATAAAAAGAAGCTATTGCATGAGCAAAGTTCATTATGGATCGAACCAAAGGAACTGGAGAATAAGATTACAGAAGCTCTAGTTGAGTCCACCACTCTCTAAACCCAAGCCCCCTCTCTTCTGAATCTCTGTTTGAGAAACGATTGTTAGTAATTTTGTTGGAGACGACATATCTTTTCTTCTTCAAATAGAGAAATAAAGCTAAACCGATTAGGCGTTTGTGCATTAAGCACATAGTAATGAGTATTGGTGGTCTTGTGACCAATCTTGTTTATTCACTAACAAGAACGTTTCTTTTTATTGTTACCACTTATAACATGCTTACCCACTTCTTTAGCTCAGCCTCGCACTCTTCTGAATTTGTGCTTATAGAGATGGTTTGATGGTTTGTGATCAACGGAAGAGAGACTCTGATTCTCGTACAGTATCTTGGAACCTTCATGTAAGTGATGTATATGTTAATTACTACAATGATTTACACACGCCTCTGTCTTTTTCTTGTATTTGTTTCATGTATAAAGAAGATAAAGGTACTAGTAGGAAGTATGATACAAGAAATCCGGTTAGATTCTGGTTCTGTAATAGAATCTGGGATGTACTTGAGTTATTATACATACAATTATTCATCTCTGTCACATGTATAATATCATGTTCTCAGTAACATAGCTATCAGGAAACAAAAATGAACCATCTGACGTTAAAAAAAAAAATAGAACATAAAAACAAAACTGAACTATCATATGAATGAATAACTTTGATTGAAATGAAATCATGAGAGGAAACACACACAAAATGACAGGTTGGCAAATTAGAAGAGTGATAGAAGTAGGGCCACATGGTACCATTCAGCCACATGCATGGCTTTTGAGTCTCTCTCCCCCAATGCTTCTTCCCCACCCACACCACTCTTTCCTTTCTTGTTATTATTCCCTTCTCATTTAGTGCATCTCCTTCTATATAACTTTACACAGTTTTAGTTCTCTTTCTTTCATTTATTTCCAGTATAATGTTTTAAATTTTCAAAATTTGATTCTTTTGACAAAAATAAAAGTCATATACATGAAAGTCTCCTAGAATCTATAGTCATCCAAATCAAATCATAAGTTCATTATTTTTGTTTTTAGAAACGAAGCACTTATTTGTTTCTGACAAAAGAAAGAGCTTAACCAATTTGTGCGTTACTAGTAGTTTGTTGCAAGCCTGCAAAGTACCAATAAACTATACCATTAATAAGTTTTTTACCACGTTAAAATTTTGATAACCAAATAGAAATGATAAGCGAGTATTAATATTATCAAAGTGGACCGACGAGCTAGACATCTAAACAATAACAGTACATACCACTGAAGGTGACTAAACAATGAAAAAGACATAATAAAACCAAAATACTTATAAGATCAAACAATTTTATAAAAAAAAAGGAAGAAATAATTACAACAAAAAGGAACCAAACACATGCACTCACCAAATAAAAACACAAAATATCAGTTTCAGACAACCATTTTTGTCTCTTTTTTCAAGAAGAGAAGAACAAAATGTTGTTTTCTCCCTATCACCTCCCCGGTGTGTTAGACCTGTCGGTGATAATACGTTACGATTAGTCTTTAACCTGCTAGTACACTAACATGTATTAACTGCAATTAGTGAAAATTAATGATAAAATTAATAGCATTAATTAAAAATTACTCATTCTTTTTTTTTCTAGTATTATTTTATTTTATTTTTTCCACCTGCCATGTTTCTATTCTTCTCCATTTTTTCCTCATATCACCAATAATGTGTATTCGCATAAATTGGCTGTCATTTTGGCGTTAAATCTTTTCCTACCTTATTTGCTTATTTTATTCTTTGTGTAAAATTATTTTATTATATAAGAAAAAATATAATAACTCATCTGTGTCCACTATCATTTAAACTCTTTTCTTTCAATCAAAAACAAAAAGAAAAAACTTCTCGTCTCTGTGGTCAATAACTCTTCTCCTTCTTCTTCTTCTTGGCTCTCTCCAGCTTCTTTCTCACTACCTGGTTGCATTTGGCGCTAAAAAGTTTCTTCTCTTTTCAGACAGCTTTTCCTCTCAGTTCCGTTGTCAGACAGCTTTCGTTACATATAAAGATGCCAGTAAGTACGTGTTCTTATTTATGTTTTTAGTTTCTTAACTCTCTTTGTCCTTCTTCTTCTTCCCTGTCTTGTCCGAGATTGTTTGGTTTTCGAAAGATTTGAAACTTATTTTTAACTCAAACCCATCAATCCTTTTGCTTCCTTGGCTTCTGGGTCTCTTTCATTTATTTGGATCCGTTGCAAAAATCTTTACTTTCTTGGATCTGAACTTTGGGATCAGATCATGCTGATTTTGAATTTTTTGATCTCTTTTATATGTTTTTGGCAGGTGGCATTAGTTTTGCTGCTGGCATTGAGCTGTTTGGTTCGGAGTCACGGCGCCGGAAACGTATGCGATCTTGGTCGGAGACCAAACACGAGACCACACAGTGTCTCAATTCTGGAGTTTGGTGCTGTTGGAGATGGGAAGACGTTGAACACGCTTGCGTTTCAGAATGCTGTCTTTTATCTCAAGTCTTTTGCTGACAAAGGTGGTGCTCAGCTTTATGTTCCTCCGGGACGGTGGCTTACCGGAAGTTTCAATCTCACCAGTCATCTCACTCTCTTTCTTGAGAAAGACGCCGTCATTCTCGCCTCTCAGGTTTGCCTCCTTCTCATCCTCCCTTAGTCTATGCTTTGATCATTCTAAAGTGTAAGATCAGAGTTTGTTTGGCTTCACTGTTTCATAGAGGTTAATGATTAGATGCAGATGTTTTTTACTCAGTGGTTTGAATCAAAGTCTGTTTTTCTTGGCCTAGGCGTCCGTCTAGTCGGCAAATCAGACCTAAACCAAACAATCTTTCTAGAACAATTTTTTAAAAAGTCGGCTCAAAAAATCGGTTTAAACTCCCGCCTAATCAATAATCCCATATAAAACGCCTAACTACCGCCTAGCGATTTCTTGAACATTGATTGTGACCAATCAGAATATTTGTGAATTTATGTTTCTCATTTTGTTTCTCTGTTCCTTCTTAACTCTGTATAAAGGATCCATTGCATTGGGAAGTTGTGGATCCATTACCATCATATGGACGAGGCATTGATCTACCTGGGAAGAGATACATGAGTTTGATAAACGGCTATATGCTGCATGATGTAGTAGTAACAGGTTACACATGATTTAGACCCACTTCATTTTGTTTGTTTGTTTGTCAATGCTAAACAAAAACTCACCGTTACAATTTCATGTTCCTCGTTTTTATAGGTGATAACGGTACTATAGATGGACAAGGCCTGGTTTGGTGGGATAGGTTTAATTCTCATTCGTTGAAGTACAGTAGACCACATCTCGTCGAGTTTGTCTCTTCAGAAAATGTCATTGTCTCAAACCTTACGTTCTTGAATGCTCCAGCTTATACTATCCACTCGGTTTATTGTAGGTAAAGATAGTGTCTGAAACTCCCTTTCTTTATCATTATAGCTCCTTTTGGTTTAGTAGAATCTTGACTCTGGTCACTACTATTGTGCAGCCATGTAAACATTCATAAAGTAACGGCTAATACTTCTCCTGAATCTCCTGATACCATTGGCATTGTCCCAGGTTAGTTCTTATGTTCTCTGCCTAATGAAAATGATATAGCTTTACTTGTTTGCTTTGTACCTTATACTGTAATGTAGTGTTCTAAAAATCGGTCTAAGCTGCAAAAATCGGACCTAAACCAAAAGATTTTTCTTAAATGATTTTTAAAAGTTTGGTATAGGTGTTCAAAAAATCGGTATAGGCACCGTATAATCAATAATCCTCTATAAACCGCCTACCATTTCTTGAACTTGAAACAATATGATGAATAATTAGAACTTTAAATCTGGTTTTCTGTTTTTTTTTTTTTGTTCTTTTCAGATTCTTCTGATAATGTGTGCATACAAGATTCTAGCATCAACATGGGCTATGATGCCATTTCCTTAAAAAGTGGTTGGGATGAATACGGTATCTCGTATGCAAGACCTACTGCAAATGTAGAGATACGCAACGTTTACCTCCAAGCAGCTTCTGGTGCCTCTATTTCCTTTGGCAGTGAAATGTCTGGTGGTATATCTGACGTCGTGGTCCGAGATGCTCACATACACAACTCGTTATCCGGTGTTGCCTTTAGAACAACTAAAGGAAGAGGTGGTTACATGAAAGAGATTGATGTTTCAAACATCAACATGGTCAATGTTGGTACTGGTTTCTTAGCAAATGGTAGCTTTGGAACTCACCCGGATTCAGGTTTTGATGAAAATGCTTACCCGCTAGTGAGTCACATCAGGTTACATGACATTGTTGGAGAGAACATTAGCATAGCAGGAGAGTTTTTTGGAACTAAAGAGTCTCCTTTCACTTCGGTTTTGCTATCGAATATCTCTTTCTCAATGAACTCGGAGTCTCCTGATGATGATGGTTCTTGGAGATGCTTGTATGTGGAGGGTTCTTCAGAATCTGTGGTTCCTGAACCGTGCTTTGAGCTGAAGAGTTTTGAGAGTTCATACGGCAGAGCTGTGGCTTTATGAAAACCAAAACTTCATGTAGAAAGAAGGAGAAGCTCATGTCTCCATGATTCATATTTGTTTTGTTTAAGTTAGCAAAAAGGTCAGATTCTTTTTTTTTTTTTTTCCTAAAAATAAACCCCATTGTTGATGTTATTTGCAGCTTGTGAGATTTATATATCTTGTACAGGTTCATTTGTTCATTCATGTGTAACCCAAAAAAAGTTTTGTTTTAGTGGAGATTCTTCATATGGCTTAAGAAAATATCTTTCAGTCATCAGTTTCTTTTTTCTTCTTTCAGATTTTTTTGTTTTGTTTTGGGATGTGTATATATTTAGAAATTTAGATTTTTGTAATGAATTTTAAAATTATTTCGGATGAACAAAAGAATTTAACATTGATTCTAGATAAAATACTTAAATTTTCATTTATAATCATAGTTGTACGTAAACATATTTTTAGCAACATGTTTTAAAATACATTCTAAAATAATAATTTTGATAATGCTGGACTTATTTTTGTTAAAATCATTTGAAAATAAAAAAGAATTTTTAATATTTATTAAAAATCACTCCAAGATTGAATGTATATGTTTTCTGAAAAAAAAATATAATTAACTCTTTTTTTTTTGTCACAGAATCAACTTCCAACAATTAGCAAATATACAATGCTTTGTACATATTAAGAAACCTCGACCCAATAGTGAAAAGTAACTTATTGGCCCAATACACATGTCAACCCCGTAAATAAATCTCAGCCCAATAACGAAGATCTGCTTCGTGGCCCATTTATGAAGGAGCGGCTTCGTCAAGGAGAGACGAGACACCATTGGCTACCAAACACAACCCTTCACTTCCCCACCCGCCACAACCATCTTCCTCTTTTCCCCACATCTGTAATATTTATTACTACTTTTTTTCTACCATCTCTCAACTAAATCTCTTTATTAAAATAAATAATTTAACTAATCAAGTATATACCACTAGAAATTGAAATTAAATTCCTCCCATCTTCTCTATTTTTTTCTTCGTACATGAGATAAATAATATAAATCGAAAATCCCCCAATCCTTCATCCTCCTCTCCCCAATCTCTCTAAAACCCTAGACTCTCACTTTCAACTCAAACCAGACAACAACCTTAAAAACCACATCTACTCTTGTCTTTTTTTATTACCAGAGAAGAAAATCATTTAAAACTTATTTTTTCTTTCGATTTTGCTTCTTTTTTTTTTCTTCCCTCTTTGGAGCGAATCGATTTCAGCAAACCATCACAATAATGTCGAGTTCCGGAGGAGTCTCAATCGCACGCACAGCGATCCGCGGCGAGAATCGTTTCTACAACCCTCCTCCTATGCGTAGGATGCAGCAAGAGGCGCAATTGCAGAAACAGTTGAGAGAGAAGCAGCAGCAACGAGATGGAGAAGAAGAAGTTGATAAGGAGCCTAAGGCGATGCCTCCGCCACGTGCCAGGAAAAGTAGTCATGGGAAGAGCAAGAATCGGGTTGTTTCCGCCGGGTCTGAAGTATCTGTTGGCTCATCTGAATCTTCCGGGTCGGGTCGGGTTCAGAGAGAAGAGTCAAACTTGGATCGGTTCTTGGAACATACCACTCCTCTTGTCCCTGCTCGGTTTCTTCCCATGGTATGGTGGTAAAATAGTTAGAAATGTAGTTTTTTGCAGATTAGAACAGTGTTTTGTTAACCTTAGTTAGTATGTTTATTGCAGATTAGAACAGTTTTTTGTGTCTTAGCTTTAGTGGTATGTTTATTGCAGATTAGAACCAGAGAATTAATAGTGGTTTGTCTTAACTTTAGTTAGTATGTTTACTGCAGATTAGAACCTGTTTTGTCTTAACTTTAGTTAGTATGTTCATTGCAAGATTAGAATTCATTTCGTCTAAAAAAAAAAAAAAAGATTAGAATTCATTGTGTTTTGTCTTAACTTAAGTTAGTATGTTCATTGCAGATTAGAACAGCGTTTTTTCTTAACTTTAGTTAGTATGTTTATTGCAGACTAGAACCAGAGAATTAATAGTGGTTTGTCTTAACTTTAGTTAGTATGTCTACTGCAGATTAGAACCTGTTTTGTCTTAACTTTAGTTAGTATGTTCATTGCAAGATTAGAATTCATTTCGTCTAAAAAAAAAAAAAGATTAGAATTCATTGTGTTTTGTCTTAACTTAAGTTAGTATGTTCATTGCAGATTAGAACAGTGTTTTGTCTTAACTTTAGTTAGTATGTTTATTGCAGATTAGAAGAGTGTTTTGTCTTTAATTTTGGTTAGTATGTTCATTGCAGATTAGAACCAGAGAGTTATTAGTGTTTTGTCTTAACTTTAGTTAGTATCTTTGTTGCCCTGATACAGTTTCATTTGCCTTTTAAACCGTTTTTTATTATATTGATGATCTAATGAAGTTCATTAGAGATTTGAATTGAAGAAGACTCTGAGTTTTATTTGTCTTTTGAGTTACTATGTTTATTGCAGAACAGAACCAGAGAGTTGATAGTGTTTTGTCTTAAACTTTAGTTAGTATGTTTATTGCTGATTAGAACCAGAGAGTTAATAGTGTTTTGTCTTAACTTAAGTTAGTATGTTTGTTGCCTTAAAACAGTTTCATTTGCCTTTTAAACCCCTTTTTATTATATTGTTGATCTAATGAAGTTCATAAGAGATTTGAATTGGAGAAGACTTGAGTTTTATTTGTCAAATTTAGTTACTATGTTTATTGCAGATTAGAACCAGAGAGTTAATAGTGTTTTGTCTTAAACTTTAGTTGGTATGTTTATTGCTGATTAGAACCGGATAGTCATTAGTGTTTGCTTCCCTGAAACAGTTTCATTTGCCTTTTAAACCCTTTTTTATATTTGTTGATTTGAATTAGGGAAGATCAGATTTTTATTATGTTGAACTTAAGCATTACTTAATTTGTTGCATTTTGTTTTTATTAGAGGAGCAGAAGGGAAGTTAAAACTAGTGAATCTGAGAGCAATTCATATTTTGTTCTTGAGGATCTGTGGGAGTCGTTTGCAGAATGGAGTGCTTACGGTGCTGGTGTCCCTCTCCATATGGATGGGAGTGACTCCACCGTGCAGTATTATGTGCCTTTCTTATCTGGGATTCAGTTGTATGTATTAGACCCATCAAAGAAAGCCAGGTTAGTTTCATTGTACTGATGATGTTGTGTATTTGTATCAGAGTTTTTGATTTATTTGAATTTTGTAACAGGAATATAGTTGAAGATAGTGAAGGAAGCAGTAACATTAGGGTTGTTAAGTTAGTTAATAATGGTAAGACTCTGCCGAGTGAAGTGGACTTAGGTGTCAGTGAACTTAGTAGTGTTAGTCTGGGAGATCAATCTGTTGCTGGTTCTTTGTCTAGTGGAGAGACTAATCCTCAAGGACGGTTACTATTTGAATACTTGGAGTATGAACCTCCCTTTGGCCGTGAACCTTTGGCTAACAAAGTAAAACTCCCTCCTAAACAAAGACATCTACTTTCGCTGTTTGATTTTTTTTTTTTCACATTTTAACAAAGTTTTTTGAATACACCAGGTGTCTGATCTGGCGTCAAGATTTCCTGAGCTATTGACATACAGGAGCTGTGACCTTTCTCCATCAAGTTGGGTCTCTGTGTCATGGTATGTTTTATGTAAACCCTCTCTTATCTTCTTGGCGTAAGATGGTGATCTTTTACTTTGTTGTTGTGTAGGTATCCTATATACAGAATACCTGTTGGTGCAACACTACAAAACCTTGATGCCTGTTTTCTAACTTTCCACTCTCTCTCAACACCACTTCCTCCTCAAAGTAAGTAACCTATGCCTCAAATGTTAACAAGATATCTCCCCTATTTTTCTTTGATTGTTACACAACCTAGTGAGGTTTCTTACACGGTCTTGTGTTTGTATAGAAGCAGGTGCTTTGGAACAACCAGTAAAGCTACCGTTGCCTACTTTTGGACTCGCATCTTATAAGCTCAAAGTATCTGTGTGGAACCAAAACAGAGCTCAAGAGTGCCAAAAGCTATCTTCTCTTGAACAAGCTGCAGACAAATGGCTTAAGTGTCTGCAAGTGAATCATCCAGACTACAAATTCTTTACCTCTAACATCCCACCACCACAAACGAGGTGAAAGGTGAAAGTGAAAGATGGTTTGGCTCTGGTCTGATTCAAAGACCCATTTATCTGCTACTCTACTACACATATAAACTCTCTGCTTACACCAAAGTAAACCAAGTGTATTGGGTAAAGACTCTTGCGTGTTTTTCAGGCGATTTAAGAGTCTGCTGTTTCATTACAGAAGATGTTTTGTGAATTGTAGCCTAATCTTCCCTTGTTTTTCTTCTGCCGAAACTAGTCTTTTGCTTTTTCCATATATAGTGATGAAATTTGATTGCTGAACTGAAACACAGTTTGGGTTATATATCAATTTGTAAGAGGTTTCTAGCTTTGAGTCTTTGACCAATCCGATACAGTAAAACGTGCTTTGATATTAAGATCTCTGTAGTACGTTCGATTACTTCATAAACTCATAAATTACTAGGCCTCAAACACTCTTTGCTACAAAAGATTATCTTTAAGGAGAAGAACTGATGTCAACTACTGTCTTCCACATGTTGTCTATCAATTGAAAGTTCTAACTATTCGTCTTTATATGTCCTCATGTCATGCTAAAGGCGGTATGGAGACAAGCTAATACTCCATCTCACAGTTCTTAATCCTAAATTTTCATTTATTGGAAATCTGAATAGTATGATCAAATTGCATGGCTCTGTTAATGTGTATGACTAATACAAACTGTACCTCTTTAGGATTTTATGGATAAGATGGAAATCTCGTGTTTTCGTTGATATGATTACATAAAATGAGTATTAGTTTTGATGTAGTTTTGTATATTTGTTGATATAATAAATGGTTACATAAAACCCAAATATATCCCAAAGCAAGGTTTTATGTAAAATTACCGATACAATAAAATCATATATGATCACTATAGTCAACATATAACCATTTATGCGTTTACATAAAACCCGACCACAAAATATATTTGGGTTTTGATACAATTAGCCTTAAAAATCATATATAACCATTTAACTGAGCCATTATAATTAGTTATGATGTATATATATATATATATATATATATATATATACTGAATGAATGTTACTTGTTTTTTTATCAACTTAACTTTATTAGTAAAGATATTGTAAGGACATTTTACAAATTCATACACAATGAAAACACAACAAATAACATAGATAAAATGACAAGAAAAACAACAGAAGTTGAACCCATGAAATAGAGTGAGATCTTTGAGAAGTCATTGTTAATAGAGTATCAACTGTATTGATTTTCTTGCGATATTTACATCTTTTTCGCATTAGAAACATCCAATTTTTTTGTCGTATTACATTGTTCTTACTCTAATTTAGATCTATATATATTCTTCGGTTCATAATCTAGTATATTGATTCAACAGTAAAAAATAAAATTGGAAAGATAAATTTTTAACGATTATATGAATATCGCATATAACAAAGAGATTGAATCTTCACCTATTTGTTGCCGTCTCTACCATGATGTGATCGATGATTTTAGCCTTATATTTTGATACCAAATATATTGTATCAAGATATAAGTTCTGGAAAAATTATTGTTGGAAAACATCAAACTTCTTCTTTCGGTCTTTAGATCCACTTCTGCATCTTGAATCCATGGAGATTTTTTTTGGTGAACACCTTCTCCATAGCAAATAACTTAATTCAAAAATCAACACAATTTGCTTGATTGTTTTATCATCGAACAAGGCCATAAAATCCATGTCGGAAACTGCAACATTGAATAGAAAGAGAGAGACTAATCTTCAAACCATTGTAAAATGAAGTTCACTTCAAGTAAATAAATAAATAAGAGATACATAAACATCGAAATTCTGATCAAAATTGATCATAACTATTGAGTGGGCAAATTCAAAGATGAGAATCGCCTTTTCCATCGCACAATAACCATCACGTTCTCTTTTTTTTTTAACAGATTAAAAAATTCGTTTGATTTGAATGTTAATTGTATTCAAATCAAAAAGCATTTTTTCTCTTGAGTCATTGTTGTGTTAAAAAAAGAAGTGCATACACCAAATTTTAAAAATATATTACTCTCATCTTGATTCACACCAGATTGCAAAAACATGATCATCTTTTAAGCATAATCAATAGAAAATTTATAAATGAGAGTGTAGTAGGAAATTATTTCAACTGGACATAGATATGCTTGTATGTTTGTGTCAAAAACTTCACTCAGTTTTTCACCATTCAACCATTTTCATTCCCTCCAATATTTTTGTTATTTGATAACAACAATTTAGTTTTTCGTTTTATTTGATTGTGTATTTGTTAAAATATCTACATTTTATACGGAGTCTTAATTGAAAATTCTGTTTCAAAGATGTGTTGGGTTCATTTTGTTGTTTTTTTTTAATTTAAATATTTTTAATAATGGTAAACGATAATTATCATAAATTATTTTTTCAAAGAGCTACAACAGCTATGCCAAATCGCCAACTCCTTCACAAATGTGTACTAGAAAACTTGTTGTTTAAAAGGGTACAACTACTTGTAGATCTCCATAATCAATCAGATACATTGAAAATCGATCTTCCAATTGTTAGTAAGCCTATAATGAGTGAATGATCATGTTTTACTTGTCTATTAGGTGGTCTTTTCTATGTGTTTTCATTATAAATGATAACAAATAAAATACCAAAGAGTTTAATAATAGTACACAAACCTCTACATGTCCGCCTAAAATATTTTAGGGCTGATTTTGTACACTGAAATTTTTGGTTAGTAACAATATTCTATATCTCAGTCATATGTATTACTGATTATTGCAAAATAGAATATCAAAACTCAAAGATATCCAAAGTAAAATTACAATTTTTAATAACAAGAAAGAAATTTGATTATTATTCAAAAGGAAACGTCGATGATTTTAAAGCTAGACATGTAATAATTAAAATGTATCATTTGATCTGCATTCAAGATTACTTTAATTGTCTTAGGTTTAATGTTTTTTTAATTTTTTATACAAACACTATAAACAAAGAAAAAAATCTTAACTATATAAAATTATAAAAGGTATGGAAGATTTGTAATATATTTTAAATCATACTCAATCGAAAGTTATAAATAAGTGTGCAATATGATGTTGTGAAACTGACATAAGTATACTTGGATGTTTTGATTAATATCGAAATAACAAAATTTGCTGAAAGAAGTAATTGTAATTTTCCGGGTTAGAGGTTGGTGGAGTAGTTGCTTTTTTTTTTCGGTGGAGTAGTTGCTTAAAACTATATTTCTGAATTCTCTTATAAAAGTAGTTCAATGATTCCAAAATTCAACTCTAGCTCGTTTTTAATCAGCGAGTGTGATTACTAAAACAAACATGAGACGGAGAGAACAGATGATGACATAATTGTGAATGAGAAATATTTTTACTTTACTTTGTTGAGGAAAACATTTATTTATAGTTTGAATTTTATAGAAATAATTTGTCAATTAGAAAAAATAATTGACACAAAATTGTGGGATGGGGGTTTGCTATAACTTTTAGTGAATGGGGGGGGGGGTTCTATACAAATCTGAACCACTGTAAAACCAAACCAAATTTAAATCACTTCAACACCAATTGCAATTTTAGCTAACCGGTTCTGAATCCAAGCAATCAATAACAGAACAACCGCAAATAAATGCAAATCTTTCAAGAGCAAGGTACAATTTATTTACAGAGAAATGTTTCTTGTGTATCTTATTGACTCAACAATTTAAATCATCTTAACCGGTCATATATTACCCATCTCTGAAACATATGTTCATCACCAAATCTGCAACACATAAGAAAACATTAAACATAAAAAAAAAACTGAACCAACTATCTATAAACATTGAAGCATAATAAACAAAATCTAAAAAACCAAAATCTAATAATATATATCAAATGGTATGCTAAAAAATATACAAATAAAACTTTAAAATCGTAACAAAAATATTAACACAAACATATCGACGATTTGGTTATGTTTATCCAAGTTAAAGATATGATATATATATATATATATATAGTTATATAATTAAATTGAAATTTAATTTTCTTAATACTTTAAGATACCCACATTATCTATTTAGATTGGTTCGATAATTAACAATGAATACTATATAAAAATATTATTAAAGTAATATTTAATTCATAAATGATGATTTTGACTAAAAATTAATAACTTTTTTTTTTATAATAAAGACGATTACCAATATTTTTATTGAATTTTTTTCATACAAGTATTTTTCATATTATTCTATAGTAAAGAAGACAACCAAATATGTTATTAAATAAGAGACGAGGTATATACTATATCATTTGGGTTGCTTGAATATTCAAGAGCAATATGTGTAATCAACATTTTATAGAAACATTTTCAAAAGATAACTAACTTTAAATTTAATCTACAAAAATGAAATAAACACACGAGTGGACGGGTTTAATGTTTTGTTTTCTGTTACTTGTTTCTAATAAATTAGGTTTTTCGTTTTTATCCATTTAATTTTGTAAATCTTTCCTCTTCAAGCAAATCTTATACATTAAAGTTTAATGAAATAAATAATTTTCACTAAAAAAAAGTGAACGACAATATAACAAAAAAAAAGTGAATTTTAACTTTTCTGAAAATAACAAGTCAATAGAATGAAACGCGAACTTTTTTTTCGTAATAATATCTTATCATTTTATGCGAGTCGATCACAATCTAAAATTCTGTTGCAACAACAAAAAATGTGTTGGGGTCCACTTCATTTAAAAAAAAAACGTTTAAAATAATAAAATGAGATAATATCAGATTTTGTTGTTAAAAACCTAGATCGCCATATCTAGAACAAATTATAGAATTTGTTGTTCAACCAGACTTAATCAGAAACTTGCAGCAGTCGTCAGAATATTCAGTCAGTGAAGACAGTGGTGGTCTAGGATCATCCAAAACCCCTCGGATATGCTTACCGACAAGTTTCCTGAGGGTTTGAGGGTGTTGGTCTTTGATGAAGATTTCCAAAATCTACTTTCATTGGAGAAATATCTCCATGATTTTCATTACAAAGGTTGTTGTCTAGAATATTCTTGTTCTTAGAAGTTTTTGAAGCTGATTAATTGACTTGTAATGTGCTAAATGCAGTGACTAGATGCCAAGACGGGGAAGAAGCTATGCGTCTACTGCGCAACCATATGAACAAGTTTGATATTGCTATGGTAGAAGCACAAAATTCAGTAGTGGATATATTCAGATTGATATCTGAAATTGCATCGGAAATCGATTTTCCAATCATTGGTAAGCCTATGAATCAATAGTTTTAAAATTTTCCTTAAATAAAATGCAACAACAACAACAAAAACACGTTTTGATTATTGCAGTAATATCTAAAGATGATTCAGTTCAATCAGTAATCAACTGGATTAAGATTGGTGTTTGCGACTATCTTATTAAACCGATAAGACCTGTAGATCTACGTTTTATTTTCAAACACGTTTTAAAGAAGATGCAAATAGAGAGAAGGGTAGAGTCAGACGAGAATGCAGCCGCCGAGAAGTCATCCTCTGTGGGAGATTCCACGATAAGAAACCCTAACAAGAGGAAAAGAAGCATGTCCATTGATGGACAAGTGGGGGAAAAGAATCAAGATCATGTTCGTGATTCCACCACCAAGAAAAGGCGAGTAGTGTGGGACATCGAGCTTAGGAAAAAGTTTCTGGATGCAGTGGAAGACCTTGGCCCAGGTAATGAGTCACATACATTAGGTTTAATCCTTTTAGATATATTCTTTTCATATATGTATATGAACAGTGGAATTTTATGCAGACGCGGTTCCTAAGAAAATTTTAGAGAGGATGAATGTTGTTGGCATGACGAGAGAAAATGTGGCCAGCCATCTCCAGGTAACCTTTCTTCTTCTACTAACCACCATGGCCCGTGCTTTATCAGATTTGTAGAAACCCAAACAAAAATAAAATAAACATGATTCTAGTACAATATTTTAGATCAGTTGTTTTATGTATATGGATATATAAAATTGTACCTCATACTTGGATTCAGATTTTACAAACATGAAATTTCTGGATATATGCTCATACATACCTTTGATAGTAGGGGCTATACATAAGTTTTCGTGAGCCTTTAACTATAATTAAATCAAAGTCATTGTAACATGTACTATATACTATATAGTCTATAGATAGCATAAATATTTATTGTATACTTTTACCAATTCATACCACTTTTTAGGACTGTAGAACTTTTACCAATTCATAACGCTTTTTTAGGACCGTAGACTTTTAGTATGTACCACTGTACTTTCACTGAAAAATAACTCTTGTTCTATTTTTTTTTTTGGACAAAATAACTCTTGTTCTATAAAAGTAAGAAAATATCAGGGGAAGAAGAACACTTCTGACCAAACTAATAATAATATTCTAATATGACATCTATATCCTAAGGACATGACATGACTGAGTTTATCGAACAAGACAACTAGAAGCTGAAGCACAGCATTTCGAAGCTAGCAAATAGCTATTTTTGTGGTCAATTCCATTGCGAGGCATTATATGGATTTAGACGAGTTTCTTTCTACATATATCTTTTGTGGTTCTATTTCTTACTTTTGCTTTGTATCTAAGAACATCTCCAAACTTTGATTTGTAAAACTTTTGTTCAAAGCTTTGATGTGTAGTTTTTTCAACTATTAATGTCTTATTTATAAATACATTATATGTAAAAGTATTATATATAAGAAGCAGACTTGAAATGAGTGTTATTTCTGCTGTGAATTTACATCTTCCTACTCCATTTTGTATAGGATGTTTTAGACGCTTTTTTGTTTCAACTTTTCCTTTTGAGTTTTTAAATTTAATTTTGTTTTAGCCATTTTTATTATACAGTATAACTTATTATTGGTTTAATTTTTTTAGTTAAATCAAACGTTGAAAATATCAACTTGTATATTATTTGTGCATCTGTTTTTAGTCAAACCACTCTATAAAAGAAACAAGTTGAATGTTTGTAACATTGTTGGAACTATATCTAATAAATCATCACAGATACAACACCAAAAAATTAAATCAATATGAAAAATGGATGTTCTTAAAAAGAATTGTATCAAATGGTGTTCATATGGCTAGTGAAACTAAGTAGAGGATTATTCTAAATAACATTAATATAACAATTCGGAAATGATCTATATTGCTGTTTAAATGTATATTATTAATATTTTTTTCTAAATTGGATGCGTAGAAACACCGGAAGAAAACTCAGAAGGAGAAAGATGATGAGAAGAACCAGTCTTTATTATCACCACAAGGAGGCATGTATAGTGGAGAAGGATCAAACAAATTCTACAGAGGAAGCAATATTCAATTCTCAACACAACATATCAGCAACATTCCACAACCTCTAAGACATCATCAGAGTTTGATTTACAATGAAGAAGAGGCTGAGGTTTCAAACTTGGCTTCCTTGTTCACACAAGGTTCCGAAGACATGAGTTTGTCCCACTTACATGAACCGGTGATGGCAACTACAATGCTTTCCAGTGATAATCAGCTATTTCCCAATCAACAACAGATGATGAACTTTCATGAACCATCCATATTGTATACACATTCGTTTCCATCATCTCTCACACCTGGTTCCTTTCTTGATCAGGTACGCTGCTTGTGCACTTCTTATGGTTTTCTTATAGACGTTATGTGGATCCATATCTTTAATCTTTTTTGTGTGTGTGTTTCGTCGTGTACAGAAAGAAACCACAATGATGATGAATGTAAGTGAAGAACTACAACAATGGTTACCCAGTGAACAAGAACAGCCTAACCTAACTGATGAGAATAGGTTTTTCGAGATTTAATCCAAGATTAGGGATCTGCAAGGAGGGATATATGGTTCAGGATCCGGGGCAAGCATGAAAACCAATTAACAAGAAGATGAAGTCCGACCATATAGTTTATTGTTGTTCTTATTATTTTCTAGAGATTAGACTTTAATATATACTCTAGGTTAATTATGCCTTCCCTTCTCTCTTTTGTATATGTATGTGTTAGCATGCATGGATTGCATGGGATGCATGTCAACAACCGGTTTATTTTATTTACTCAAACGAATAAGAACTTGAAATCGGTGGTTTCAATATATGTGTCCTACTCCAGCAGTTAATAAACATTGTGGTCGTGGTGGATCATACCTTATAACTGTTCTCACCAAACTCTTTTTTCCTTTACTTATATATTTCCCCATTCCTCTCTAATTATCTGCACATGGATAAATTAAAGAGAACATCTATATTCACATATAGATAAGTCTTATAGATAACATATATATTCAAATTTATAGTAATATGCCAGCATCCATTCATGTTCAACAACCACCAAAAATAGTAATCTATATTAGATAACAGACCAAAACTTCGAAAAATACCAAATAAAAATTTCAAATATATGATCTAGCCTACAATTTCTTAAGGTTACAAATTGTTTATTTTGCATAAAATGTTAGTTTATACACTATCTATTTTTAGAGAACTTAGAAGCAAAAGAAAATCTAGACTGCTAAAACAAACGAAATGGCCGATTGTTTTAAGAGATACAGTAAAGTGAACAACTCCTAATAAAATTATAAAGGCGTGACATAGCTCAAGATTTCTATTATTTTCTCCGTAATCTAAGAAGTAACACTCATTCAACCAATGACCGTAAGAATCTATTACAAATATAACTAAACCAGAAAGAACGTATATGTTTTTAATATCTCAAACTGCTAGCAAAATACAAAATTACAGGCTCACTGAATGTAACTATCTAGTATTTCTTTTCTTGCAACGAAAAACAAGACAGATAATTAGGAGGTTGATCTGTAAAGTTTTTAGAAATAACTGTCGTTTCTAAAGAAAAACCAAAATCCAAGTTTTTATGGTTTCTTCAAAATCCAATGATAGTTTTTCAATTTTTCAATTTATAATTTTGCTATATTTATGCATTAATACATGGAAATAAATAAAAACAATAACTACTATATAGAAATCATCTCTAGTAAAAGACCTTTATTTAATGTATGTAATATAAAATAAAAAAGTTTATACATCTAAAATTATATGTAATTTAGAGAAAAAAACAACAGAAATTTTTATTTTAAATTGAGTATTTTAACTAACTTTATAGAAATTATTTATAGATATAATAAATAACCATAAAAATATCTGTGCCCACATTGTCTAGGATCAAATACGCAAGATTACTAATCTTAATTTTTATCTATAATTCTAAATTACTTATTTAATACTTCTTTGGTTTCAAATGATCCATATTATATATTATTACACATATTAATAAAATATATTAAATTATATTATAAATTTATTATTTTTTATAATTAAATATTTTCAAAAAATTTAGCTAATAAAAATTTAATAAACATGATTAACTTTTTAAAGTTTATTGTCTAGAGTGGTGTTCGAGTATTGCCTAAGGTTTAATGGGCTTTAGTTACGGGCCCATCGGTGGAACCTGTTATGATAAGCAAATCAGTAAGTAAGTCAGATGGGCCGAGAGATCGTGAAGCCCAAAGTTAAAGAGAAGACTTACTGAAACTGGTGTTACTGAAGCTGGCGTAGACTGGAATCTAGAGGATCACACCTCTATTTAGTCGTAACTGATTCTAACAGAAACCTTATTTTCTTCAGCGATCTAAGATATAGTTGTAGAGAGAGTCCGCCATTGTTGTCACCGGAAAAACTTGTAAACACCAGTGATAGTGGATCTCGGGTACCGATCCCGAAGAAGACATACCTCGTCGTTGTGCATGGAACTCTAATTCTAGCTTGTTTGTTTTAGGAGTTGCGAACCTAATACTCACGAGAGATACGAAGTGAGATAGAGAGATTCGGAGATATCAATTCGATCAGGTCACATTAACGTTACTAATTAGAACTATTATCTAATAAAAAAAAATATGATGAAAATGTAAAAATGTATCTTTGAAATAATTTAAAAAATATATGGATTATTTTGAAACAAAAAAAGTAATATATTGTAGTATGTCTAACTATTTGATAAATTGCAAATTTTAATTGAAATTTTATATAAATCTCTTTGTAATTTTACGCTTAGTGATAATATCTTCTATTTTTACTATATTTAGAAGAAGTATATTATTATTATTATTATAAATTATTTTATTTATTAATTTCATCTAAGAAATTAAAACGAAAAACTAAAATCTAACTCACCATTCAAGTTTTTCAAAAAACTAAAATCTACAACAACAAAAAAAAAATCTAAAAATCAAAAGCCAGAAACCAAAAAAAAAAAACAAAAACTAAAATCTACAAATTAAACAGACAATCATCACCTAGAATGCCAACCAAAAAAATCATATTTACTTTCAATACAAACAATCTCAAACGTGAGGCCAAAAATATTTGACATAAATCGTTCTTTGGATTAATCTAAATTTCAAAAAGCGTAAACTTGTTCTCCAGATATCGATAGTAGCATATCAAACTTTTCATGTAGACATCCAGTCATGGAGTTCTGCCATGTTTTTATCCCTGATGAGATTGCCAACAAATTTCTTGAAGAAATGCTTGCTCATCTCCAAGATTAATGGACGCTACAACAAACCAACATGCTATAATGCTAAATAGAAAATGATATGGCCTTCTAAGCCAAGTGAAAAATATTAATAATATCTCAAACTCTCCGAAATTTTATTATTGAGATGTGTTCATCTCCATAATTAGTCGGACGCTAACAACCCCAAATAAAAATTGACAGGGTTTTCTACGCAAGCTAAAAAATTGTTCATAGATAACAAATGAACATCTCAAAAAACATTCTTAGCCTTAAAAACAAAACCAAGGCAGCCCATTAACGATAGCTTAATGATCATTTTCTTGTTGATCAAGGTTACCTATCGATCTATATTGGACCCATCCTTTTGTAGCATGCGAAATTTCCATGGAGACTGAAAATTCGGCAGAATTGTTATAATTCGACATGGGACCTTTCGCTTAAAAACAAAAAAAACAAGAAAAACAAAAGTAACCTTTGAGATTGAAATACAAACTCGAACCTAGTGGAAGAAATGAGATGATTTCAAAAGAAAAATGTGTAAAGATGGGATGTGGAATTAAGGGTTTATATAGAAATCTTCAAAGGAAGTAAAAACCGTGTACTCAAAGAGTTTGAAATTGTTAAAATATTCGTAAGAGATCTTTCTCCAGATTTTTATTTATCTTATGGTTATGGGATTAAACAAGTTTGAATCAGTAAACACTAATAATAAGATTCTAAAAATAATTTTATGTGGCTTAGAGAATTAACATGGAACTATTTTGGGGGTAAATGACCATTACCAATAATCATCGTATGGCTTAGCATCTCACTATTCTATGGCTGAATAATATTTTTTTTTTTGTTCTTTTGGACACAAAAGGCCCCCTCATTAGCCCATTTACTACATACGAATGAGATATGGCGTCATCGATGTATGATGGAACTTAATAACTTGTTTGGCATTAAACCACAAACATTTCTCAATGATAAAACAATGTTCTTCTCGTGACTGTTTAGCTGCGATTTAACGACACTAAATGGTAAGACAAAAGAGTAACGAATCAGATACTAAAAGCCGAACAAGAAAAGGTTATACAACGTTTGTATTTCAAACAGCTCAAGCCGCATTGAGTAAATGATTAATTTCATTTTACAAAACATTTAATCAATCAAGAAATCAAGAACTTATATATATATATATATATTATGAACTCTCCTACTCTAACTTCTCATGCGTTATTTCAAGGAATAGTTGACTTGTAAAATCAAACTGTGTAAAATCACCTGAACTCAGGAAGAATACAAAAGCAAATGCTCATCATCTTAACAAAGAAGAGGGTATGGTTTTACTACTACTCAAAACAAATTAAACGATCCTGTCTAATGGTGTTTAACAACTACATTAGCCAATTAAAGATATACCTCTATTTTACACAGTACCATACTATATATTGAAACCAGGTCTTCTTGAGATAGACCGTTAATCTTTGTTTCACTGCCTCCCTCAACGACATTGGTACTGCCACCACATAAACAGTTCACTCTTTATTTTTGGTGTTCATATATATATTGACGTAGGTTTTACGGATTTAAAATGAAGGTCACATATATAAAATTATTCTTGGTCTCAGGCTCAGCGAAACAAAGGGGAATAAATATATGAGATTATTTTTATAAAATAGTTTAGCCTGTTATAGAAAAACGGAAGGGTATGTGGTGGAGCAAAGCTGGCCATTAAATTTTATTTTATTGCATGTGTATTTCGAATTTCCAACGGTGCACATTACACAATAATTGAAATAGTATATTATTGTCTGATATTAACGACAATCACATGTTACAATGATTAAACAGATACTAGTGGCCGTGAGTTTAGCTGATTGATAGATACTGTTACCGTAAATGTTTGGCTATGAACTCTATTAGACGATGTTATAAGCGACAGAATTAGTTAATTAACGAGTTGAGATATAAAAATAGAATTCTCAGCGTAAATAAAGTTCAACCGACAAAATAATGCTAAGATGAAACCAACAAGTTGAGTGTAAACTACTTAAAGAGCAATACATCAACCATACAGTACATGGAGAGGAGAAGGAGAGATAATGCATAGAAAGTAACAATATTTTATTTCTGAATAGCTAATGCATAGAAAGTAACAATACTTTATTTCTGAATAGCTAGTAACCAAAATGTTAATTAACAAGAAAAATTAAATACAAATTGTCCATACAAGAAAAGGTTAAAGAAAGTAAAAGATAATCATTTGATCCAACACCAAAGATATCTAAAACCTTCAAAGACTATTGTAGATCTACCGATCTGCCACATTACTTGATATTTTCCGGCCAACTCTGACTATTTTCCGTCACACCAAACAGAGAAAGACGGCGAAAAGAGCAAAGAGAATAGAGTTAGAACCCATAAACCGATCTGCTCCAGAACCTGGTGGTGGCGTATGATAGTAAAACGGGAAGTAAGGGACGATGGGATTAGGCGGAGGTGGAGTAGGATAGTTTCCTGAATACGGTGGAGGATAGTAATAGCCTTGACCACCGTCACCGTACGGAGGAGGGTATTTTCCGCCACCGGACTGTGAAGGAGGAGGGTAATAGTAAGAGCTACCACCACCACTACCGCCGGAGCTCGGAGGAGAAGGAGGTGGTGGACATGCGGTGGTGGTTGATGGTGAAGGTGGTGGACGAGAAGGCGGAGGAGGGGGAGGATATGATTGGACGGGGTTACAAGGATTGTCGCAGGAAGAACACATTGTACAGGAAACAACCTCGTCCTTGGATGTCACTGTCGAAGTCACTGACAATAATAGAATAAAAACAAGTGTAAACAAACCGTATAACTGGTTTGCTTCCATTGTCAGGAACTTGATTTTCAATCTACAAAATCTACAGAGAGAGATGGAGAAAGAAAGAAAGAAGAAGCACAATGAGAAGAGGAGTGTTCTTCTTTTTATCGAGGTTTTTTAAATATACTTTTTTGTTGCAGCAATAATGGTGTTTTTAAATAAAGAAATGAATAGTGAAATGGAAGAAAAGATACACCGACACGTTAATCTTTTAACCGTAATAAAAAGCACCGGAACTACGCGCATGTCGGGATAAATACATCATTGTAAATGTTATGAAAGGTGAAAATTACGATAATACCCCTGGTCTCGGCTTTATTGTGAGCTATCTCGTGGTGGCTACGTTGACGAGCAGCGGAGCAAGTTGGTTTGGGAAATTAAAGGAAACGATCGACAGCAAATAAAATATTATGTGGCGGTCACTATCGTGGGGCTTGACTTTTATGCAAGCTTTTCAGACGTGGAACATTGGGTATCTGGTTTATGATGTGGCATGAGTAGACGTGAAGATGACGGAAGTCCTGACTTAGGTGTGAGTGAGCGTATTTTCAACAAAACCTTTTGATATAATATGACTTCGGTGAGTAGCTAGCTTCGAAATTAAAAAGCATGATTTGAAGCTTTTAGGTGTTTATAGAATCTAAGCTTATGCAAATTTACTTTTTTTTTTGAATTGCTGTTTGTGGTTCAATGGTGATTAATTTGAGGATAAAATTTAAATCATTTGGATTCGAGTTCTGTTATTCAAAAATTAAAATTTTAGCATCGTCAAAAACATGGAACCAGTATATGAACTGCAAATATAGACTATTAACATGAGGTTAATCTAAATCCACTTTGATGGACATTAGGATATTCTTATATAATTTTCAAAAAATAAATTTGATTTTGAGATATTGATAGGAAAGAAAACATGTGAAAATGTTTCATTGCAAATTGCCAATTTTCTTGTATTATCAGATTAAAAGGTTCAAAAAGACTCCATCTCATTTTTGTGAGATGATGTAGGCAAAAGTTTGGTAAAATGAGCAATGCAAAATGAAAACACACATAGTTCACATGCACGTGTCCATAGATCAAAATGATCTAAACAAACAATCGTGTAGCTTTGTAACTGACAAGACTACGCTACGAGACGATTTGGAGTAGCAGCTGTTTGTTGAATACTTGAATGTCACGAGTTACTCATTGATAAACTGATTTTCAAAAATTTAAAGAAATAAAAAAAGAGTTTTAATGCGAATTGTGAAAGGGGAGATGAAATATTAGCTGTATAGCACGTGTCTTTAATAGCGTGGAACGGGCCCACCAACTCCATCCCACATTCTCCGCACCTACTAGACCTTTATTTCAGCATAACTCTGTACACTTGCTCACCGCTAGCTTCATTTACAACCGTAGAAGATCTAATCGGTGTGAAGGATTTGCGTTTAGGCAGAAAGTTTAGTTGCCAAATCTCTTTCGGTTTGCGACATCGTTCTTAACGAGTGCAATTGGTCGAGCACCAGTGATACAAAACAGTAAGAATAAAATTAACAGAAAAAGAAGTCAAGGTAACTAGAATAATTTTTTAATTATTATTATTGGAGTCCTTAGAAAACTATTTTTTTTAAAAAAAAATTAATTATTATTATATTTTTTTAAATTAAAAAAATATCAACCAATTGCATGTCGTGGTGATCCGTAAATAGTGCAAGAATTCGCAAAGAAACAATTTTTATTTAGAGATTTTAAAGATCAAATTCTTAAATTTTTATAAATTTACTAATTATTTAATTATTTTTTCTGTAAATACTTCTTCTTAAAGACTCTGGTTGGAGATGCTTTAATAATATAGAAGTGGAATCGATACACACAAAATTAAATGTAATCTAAAATGGCGGTAAATATCGATATACACAAATGAATTGTTACTATCTTCTATACAAGTTTTAATTGTTACTGTTTTCTGATTGATAATTAAAAGCCGTAATCCAGGTAATAACGATATTACATGATTACATGAGTTGAATACAACATATACCCTGAAGTTTCAGAGAGTACAAATCGGGTAACGGATCAGACTTGGATAAAGATCTTACAAGTGTGTCTAGTCCTAGATTTGGTGATGGACACAAATTACAGAACCGTACCGACAAGGTTCAAATCGTCTAGATTCTCTGGTTGAAAAGTATTATTCAGATTCCGAAATATCATTTTGGGCTAGGCCCTATACAGTTTCTCTATTAGCTTGGCCTTCTACAGTTTCTCTTTTAGCGTGGCCCTCTACACTTAACAATGGACCTATTTAAAATCCCTTATTGGATTTAACATAGGGAATTTAACTTCCTTTTTTAGCCAAGCTTTTGATGTAAATGAATTTGGTAGCATGTGCTAATGTCATGTAATTCAACTCTGGTAGCATAATGCAATTTCAAAAAAGTCCTGATATTCTTGGTTTTTAATACTATAGTGACGATTGGACTTTGATTTATCATCAAAAGAAGCACATTTAATTGGGTTGACTATTAGTAGCAGACTAACAGTACACACTACACATGAATTAAAAAACATAATTCATGTGGCCAGACCAAGATTTTGTTAGTTAATTACGGGACACATACGAATGATATGGTTTTTATGTTGAAACGTAATACATTTCAAACATTAATACTTCAAGAAAGGTTTGGTGCCCACGGAATTAATGAAAAGAGAAATATTTCAAATCTAAAAAAATGGCTTCATATTCAATCGCTTTTTTCGTAATAAAGTCATAAATATTATTATTTTGACTTTGACAAGAATTGTGCTTAACAGATAGGCAAGTCCCATTCCTGTCTTAATACGGACAAGATTGCAACACAGACCAATAATTTTTAAATAAAAACATAAGATACCCCATAAAGTAATAACTACCCCTGTTTTATTTTATTTTTGCTAAAACTTGTTAATGTTCAGATTTTTTTTTTTTTTCAAAAAGATTTTGATTTGAAGAACACAAAGTGTGAAGATAGAACCCTTCGATCGGAAACTCCAAGCACAAGAAAGAGATGACACAGCGAGATGTTTACCCGGTGTTCACCGCACCACACCGATAACTTGGTGTGGCCGCTATATCTCACCGGAGCCGGGATTGAACCGGCAACTTACTATTGACAACGAAGAACTCACACTCCAAGCCTTTCGTCAATACAACCTTTCTCCGATCTCTCTCTCTTTCTCTAACGAAATCACAAAGATAGAAACTGATTCTAACAACCTAAACCAGCTCATCAATGCTTCCTTAAGTACTAACCGTAACACTTAACATCTAAGCCGGTTTTCCTAAACCTGATAAACATAAACCGTCTACCAACCTAATTGAGAGAGAGAACCGGTACAAATCAATTACAAGCTTAACCAGATACAATCCTAATCTAATAAGCTTAAACCAAAGTGTACCTAACCGGAAGACGCATTGTCTATAACCTTCAAATCTCCTCCTTAGACAATGCCTTGAGCAACAAACCAACTCAACCTGAAAGCAAACTCGAGTCATAAACCTGACTGCACATGAGCTCTTCACCGAACCCATCCCGGAGCTCTTTACCAAGCTCCTCCTTGAGTCCTTTACCGGACTCTCACACACCACTTCTCAGTCCTTAGAAACACGAAGAAACTTCAGTGCTTCCTTAAGTTTAAACACTGGAAGAACCTTCGTGAAGATATCAGCCGGATTATTAGCTGTTGCAATCTTGAGAACCTGTACCTCTCCCACATTTATCAAATCCCTGACAAAATGATACTTAGTGGCAACATGCTTTGTTCGTTCGTGGAACACAGCATTCTTAGACAAAGCAATCGCACTCTGAGAGTCACAAAACACCTCTACAGTGTCTTGCGGGAAGCCTAGTTCTTCTGCAAATCTCTTGAGCCATACACCTTCTTTAACAGCCTCTGAAAGTGCTATGTATTCGGCCTCTGTTGTAGACAAAGCCACTACTTTCTGAAGTGAGGATCTCCAACTTACCGGATTGCCGCCTGCTGTGAAGACCATACCAGTAGTAGACTTCCTATGATCCAAATCACCACCATAATCAGAATCACAATACCCTCTCACAACGAAATCTCCTTTCTTCTTGAAACATAAGCATGTATCCACTGAACCTTTAATATATCTTAGAACCCATTTGACTGCTTGCCAGTGAATTTTCAATGGTTTTGACATAAACCTACTGATAACCCCAACTACGTGTGCCAAGTCTGGACGCGTACCAACCATGGAGTACATGATGCTTCCCACTGCATTTTGATACGGAATCTTTTTCATATACTCCTCCTGCTCCTTTAGCTCTTTGTCTGTTGCTGCTTTAAGTACAAAGTGTACTCCCAGAGGCGTAGACACTGCCTTTGACTGGTCCATCTCATAATTCCCCAATACTTTCCAAAGATAATCTTCTTGTGAAACAAACAACTCATACTTATCTCTGTTCCGTGTAATTTCCATTCCTAAAATCTTCTTAGCATCACCTAGGTCTTTCATATCAAACTCTGAACTTAGCACTGCCTTAAGCTTCTGAACCTCAGCCTTATCAGTAGATGCTATGAGAATATCATCCACATATAGCAACATATATATATAGACATGCTTTGCATTCCGTTTGAAATACACACACGAATCATACTCACTCCTTGAATATCCTTTTGACCTTATGAAATCATCAAATCGCTTATTCCACTGTCTTGGACTCTGTTTCAACCCATACAGACTCCTCTTAAGCTTGCACACTTTATCTGGATACCTTTTATCTACGAATCCCTCTGGCTGCTCCATTACAATGAACTCCTCCAAGTTTCCATGAAGAAACGCAGTTTTTACGTCCATCTGTTGTAGTTCCATATTGAAATGAGTTACTGCTGACAAGACAAACCTTATGGACACATGCTTGACTACAGGAGCAAAGATTTCCTGGTAGTCAATGCCTTCCTTCTGAGAGTAGCCTTTAGCTACTAAGCGTCCTTTATATCTCGGAGCTTCAACACCAGCTATTCCTGCTTTTCTTTTGAACAACCATCTACAACCGATTGGCTTTTGATTCTTAGGTCTCTCAATAAGATCCCAAGTATCATTTCCTTGTAATGAAGTCATTTCTTCCTGAGCTGCCTCTAACCACTTGTCTTTATCTGGGTCAGCCATTGCCTCTTGCCATGATCCTGGTTCTGGAGCCGTGTCTTCAGATAACAAGCACACAAATTCTGCGTACTGATCCTCTCCATCAGAACTATCACACTCGTAGTCCTCGAGTCTTGGAGGTGGTTTAATAACACGTCTTGGCCTGTCTCTAGCTAACTGATAATCATCAAGATTCTGTTATGCATCAACACTATCTGTTTCTTCCTCAGTACCTTCTTGCGTGTCAGTAGTAATTGCATTGTCACTATCTGTAGTCGGTACTTCAGCATCTGATAATTCTAGGAGCTTGAGTCCAGATGATCCTAGTGCGTCTTCCTTGTCTGAACTATCACCTTGAATACCTTTAAGCTCCTTATAGACCTGATCCTCCTTAAACACTACATCTCTACTGATCACCACCTTCTTATCTTCCAGTAACCATACCTTAAAACCCTTTACACCTTCTGGATAGCCAGTAAAAATCCCTTTCTTGGCTCTTGGTAGAAGTTTACCATCTGAGGAATGAACGTACGCAAGGCACCCGAATCTCTTAAGATGGCTTATGTCTGGCAAATGAGATGTCCACTTCTCCTCTGGTATTTGAAACTCCAGGGCTGATGAAGGAGACCTGTTGATAAGGTATACGGCAGTAGCCGCAGCTTCAGCCCAAAACTGCAGTCCCAATCCACTCTCAGAGAGCATACACCTAACTTTATTCATAATTGTTCGATTCAGTCTCTCTGCAATTCCATTTTGCTGTGGCGTATATGCACACGTCTTGTGCCTTACAATCCCATGTTCTCTGCAGAAAGAGTCAAACTGACGGTTGCAAAACTCAAGTCCATTGTCAGTTCTCAATCTTTTGACCTTCCTATCGACTTGATTCTCGACCATAGACTTCCATGCCACAAAACTAGGAAATGCTTCATCCTTAAATCTTAGGAAGTAAAGCCACACCTTTCTAGAGTAGTCGTCTGTGAAGGAAATGAAGTAATGTCTGCTGTTGAGGCTAGCAGGAACATTTGGTGATCCCCAAATATCTGAATGCACATAATCCAGTCTTTCCTTCGTTACATGCTTTGCTTGTGAAAAACTCACCCTGTGAGTCTTACCAAGAACACAGGCTTCACAGAACTTCAGGTTTCCAACTTTACTCTTGCCAAAGCTCCCATTCTTAGTCAATATTTCCATACCTTTCTGCCCAAGGTGACCGAGCCTACTGTGCCACAGTTGAGTCTCATCGATGGTTGCCTCATCAGATGTTGCTGTACTTGACTCTCCACGTTCTAGAGATGCGACCCTTGCTTTTGCTTGTAGGATATATAATGATTGTCTCCTTGTGCCTTTCATGAACACGGTGCAACCTTTGATTACCTTAAGCACCCCATTGGATGCTTTAAACTCACATCCCTTAGCTTCAAGCGTGCCCATGGATATTAGATTTCTCGAGATCTCTGGCATATATCTTACATCGTGCAGGAGGAATGTAGTCCCATCTTGATTCTCGAATCTAACGGACCCTGTACCTCTGACTTCTGAGACTGAACTGTTTGCCATTCTGACTCTGCCTTTTGTTGTCTCTTCCAAGTTTATGAATATATCTCGTCTTGGTGTCATGTGAAAAGAGCATCCGGTATCCATCACCCACTCATCACGATCATCCTCTGCAGAGTTGACCTCTACAACTAAGAGACCCACCAAGTCTCTTGCATCATCTTTAGCTAGAGATGCTTCACCCCTGTCTTGACCTGATCTATGCTCCTTATTCCTTTCAAGCCACTTATAGCACTGTTTCTTGAAGTGTCCTTCTTTACCACATATCCAACACACTCTCTTGCTGTCTTTACTCTTAGACCTTGAGCGACTTCGATTTTTACCTGCAAAGTCAGTACCAGAGACNTCATCTTTAGCTAGAGATGCTTCACCCCTGTCTTGACCTGATCTATGCTCCTTATTCCTTTCAAGCCACTTATAGCACTGTTTCTTGAAGTGTCCTTCTTTACCACATATCCAACACACTCTCTTGCTGTCTTTACTCTTAGACCTTGAGCGACTTCGATTTTTACCTGCAAAGTCAGTACCAGAGACATTCCTATTCCTACTATCTGTTCTACCTCTAACGTAATTACCTTCCCCATTCAACTTAGCAGTAGATGATTCCTTATACTCCATTTCTTTAGACTTAGCAGCACTAGATATATCATCTACACTAATGGCCTCTCTACTGTATTTCAAAGTTTCTTTGAGAGAGTCATACCTGCTTGGCAAAACGTTGAGTAGTAGAATAGCCTGGACCTCCTCTGGAATCTCAATGTTGAGGTTGCTCAGGTCCGTGACTAACTTAAGGAAGTCATCAACGTTCTGGTCAATAGTCTTTGAATCTTGCATCTTGAATGCGTAAACCTTGAGTTGTGCGTGGACACGGTTTGGCAGAGTCTTTGCCATGTAGAGTTTATCAAGAAGTTCCCAAGCCTCCATAGCTGTGTTACACTTATCCAGTTTCCGCAGAACGTGATCTCCAACACTCATAAAGATGATGTTCAACGCCTTCTCGTCTCTTTCGGATCTTGCAGTGACTTCAAGATCCTTCTTCTTCTTTGCGTCTATGTCGTCCTCGTCTTCATCTTCCTTCGTCGTCACTAAAGCCTGTGACGGAGGTGTCAGGACATCCTTTAATCCTTGAACACTTAGATTCGCGAGCATCCGTTTCTTCCAGATCGCGAAATCTCCGGTTCCGTCGAACATTGAAATCTTGATCTCCATCTTCATCTTGTGAGTCGCCATCGCAGATCTACTTCTTCAATCTTGAAATTGAATCACCGGAACTTCTGTCACCGATCTTGATCTCTCGATTCGACTCCGAACTTAACCTCTAGCTCTGATACCAATTTGTGAAGATAGAACCCTTCGATCGGAAACTCCAAGCACAAGAAAGAGATGACACAGCGAGATGTTTACCCGGTGTTCACCGCACCACACCGATAACTTGGTGTGGCCGCTATATCTCACCGGAGCCGGGATTGAACCGGCAACTTACTATTGACAACGAAGAACTCACACTCCGAGCCTTTCGTCAATACAACCTTTCTCCGATCTTTCTCTCTTTCTCTAACGGAATCACAAAGATAGAAACTGATTCTAACAACCTAAACCAGCTCATCAATGCTTCCTTAAGTACTAACCGTAACACTTAACATCTAAGCCGGTTTTCCTAAACCTGATAAACATAAATCGTCTACCAACCTAATTGAGAGAGAGAACCGGTACAAATCAATTACAAGCTTAACCAGATACAATCCTAATCTAATAAGCTTAAACCAAAGTGTACCTAACCGGAAGACGCATTGTCTATAACCTTCACAAAGCCAAACAATTACACATTCGTTTGTTAGTCCTCATCATTGCTCTCTGAATTTCAGAAAACCCTAAAAACATTTATTATTATCAAAAATTCGCCACACACACCTAAGCGTAGACTGATCCATAAGAGAGAGCCATGAGAAGCACCGCCGCTTGCTCTTCTTCCCCAAGCTTCCGTAACTGCTTCTCCACCGTCGATCTCTTCATCATCCCCAAATCCATCATCCTCTGTTTCACTGATTCACCAAACTTAGAGTTTCTCTTGAGATCTCCGCCGCATGAATTTGATTTCTTCGCTTCTACTCCTCCTCGTCTCTTCTTCCTGCTTCTGATCCCACACGCGTTACAAAGCGACTACATAAAAGAAAAAAAAAACATATTAGATCAAATGATCAAATCTTGGTTAGGGTTTATTGGTCTGACCTTTGGACCGGTGGGACCACCACGCCAAAGAGGTGTTTTGCTTGTGCCACAATCAGCGCAAGTCTTCTTGTTCTGTTCGATCACATCTCCACCTCTTCTTTTCACCTTCTCGATGTGATTTAGCATTTTCTACACTTCGGATGATAACGCTTTAGCTAGGGTTTTGAGATGATCACGTCTCTTCCGGAAACACAAAGATCAGATCAGAGAGAGATAAAATTTGAAAAAGGGAGGAGAGTAGAGAGAGGGAGAGTTCTAGAGAACCGAACCGACAAACACTTACGCACGGTGGATAATCACAAAACCGATTCGATTATAAATTGGTTCGAAATTAAACCCTAGCATTTTGTAGAAAATGACGAAAATGCCCTTGAACTCTTCTTCTATTATCGAGAGAGAGCCACCCGCCAAAAATTGAGGAGTGTTGAGGGAAAGGTTTTCGAGTAGGTGAAGAAAAGAAAAGAAAAGGGCGCCACTTTGACAGGTGCGATCACATACGGTACAGTGTACGGTGGGGTCTGGATTAATGATTCACGAGGGTTAGATTAGATCGTAGCCGTTTGATTAAGATCTCTACGGAATTTGACTTTTTTTTTGAGTACTGTATGTTGGGTATTTAATGAGGGTTGAGTGATGCACACCAACTCACTCAAAAGTATATGATGGTGATACCACTGTAAAATAAAGATTTAGAGAGACATTGGTATACTAATGATCAGGCTAATGATGGATTAGTTATATAGAGAAACAAACAAACTAAAAGAGATGGGCACGAGTGGTGAAGAGTATGGCCAGGTAGATAGGGATGCTTCAGTCCATATATTATTATTTTGCATGGTTCCAAATAAGATTAGTGCTTTTGTATGTAACGTTGAAATTATCATTGATCTGGTCAAAGACTGACAATACTCCAAATAGTTCTTTTAAAATATTGAAATTGTGACAGGGAAGAAAGAAAGAAAGAGACGACTGATTGTCGTGTCCCCAATGGAATACACACATACATGTTCTTGGACCACCACTCTCTCTTCTCTTAATGGTGCAAGAGTATAAATAATATGTGTTTATTAGAATTATGCTGTAAGTTATGTAACCCCAACTAATGACTTCAATGATCTAACAAATCACTTATCAGACTTCATGGATTTGAATTAATTTTGTATAAAAACCTTTTGAACTAAAACAGATAGCAGTTTCTGCAGAGAACAACTTTAACTTCCCCTAAACTTCAAAAAAAACAGTTACAAAAAAACTTCCAAAAACAAAACAAAGTAGACTTGAACGTGATGAACACCATTTATATTGACAATGTACTTACAATTGGCAACCAAGTAAGCCGTGATAAAACAATGATGAATTGACCAACAAGTGTCACCAAGAACTTGGCTCTTTAAGTTTCCATGTCAGATTTTTTTTTTGTCAGTCAACTCAAAACTAATATCATCCTATAGAAAAAGACTTTAACACTTTGTAAGCTTTAAATTACCTTCAACCGAAGTTGAATCCTCCATGAGGCACTTGAACTCGTTTCCTTTGGATGCCTAGACGAGAACCATCATCACCTTCAGCATCTTGTTCTTGTATCTCCTCAGCATCCTCTTCACCCCAATACGTCTCAAGAATCTTCACAGCCTTCTCATAGATCGCATTGTTCACATTACTCTGCAGCTTCTCAATCTTTTCTAGCCCTTCCGCATCTTCAACCAGTTGAGAATAATAGTTCATACCTCCTCTACTCTTCTCCACCTCTCCAGCCTTCAAAATATTCTCTAACCCTTCCAAACACAGGAAGATGATAGTTCCATCCGGACACACCAGGACATCACATAGAAGTTTTATGCAGCTCTGCTCCACCAACACTACAAGAAAACTAAGCCATTACTAGGAAAATTTACTAGGAAAACATTTCCTCGTAAAAATACTACTAGTTTACTTCGACTTTACGAGGAAACATCTTTTCCTCGTAAGGTTCTCGTAAACTTACGAGAAAAGCGTTTCCTCGTAAAGTGGAAGTAAATTTACGAGGCTCTTACGAGGAAAATATTATTTTCCTC